GCAATCAAGGAAATCATTATGTATGCTAAATGCTCTCCGTGGTTGCATAATTGCTTAGAAATATGAGGCCAATTTACAGCCCCATTTGCACCTTGGGGTGCTAATACTGATCCTACATCCATGGATAACATTACTTGCATAAGACATAGCTATACAAGTTAACAATTGGCTTTGAGAATACGACAATAAAGTTATGTATCTTCAATGGACCCCAAAACACCAGATCTAATACCAAAATTGCTTTAAAAAAAAAAGGGGTACAAATTTTATCTCATGCTGCTGAACAATATAACCTCTTATTGGCAGTCACTGTGCAGCAAATGAAATGAGTGCCAACAAATGGACATATTGCTCATTAGCATGAGATCAAATTATCCATGTAGTTAACCCTAAAGCTAACAGGAATTCAAGCTTGGCAAACAAGATAACAAAACACACATTTTGTATACAACTAATAAAACATGTACAAAATAAAAAACAAATTTACAGTCATGCTTTGGAACGGTATAGAGCACAAGGCCTGGTTAAAGTACAACATCCTCTTTAGGATTTTACCAGTAAAAAATGTTATATATAACGGTTAATGTTACGGCTCTAAAAGCAGATGTGAATATCAAGTGCAGGGAAATGCTTCTTCGTAGTCATAGCTCCCTCTTGTGGAAATATATGAATTTGTGCTGCTTTTAAGCACATAAATCACAGGTTAGGGATTAAAGTCCACAATACACACATTTTCATCCAAAACTGTCCGTATTATTCTGGAAATTGTGTAAATGTAAAAATTCCTACCACAGTTGCATAACAAATTGTGTACATTTTGTGTGCAAAGTATGTTAACATTATACTGTGTGTCTGTTTTGTGCCCAAAGCGAAAGATTTACAGGGCTATTCACAAAAGGGTGAGGAGTTTGGACAAGGCAGGACAAGTGAACAATCTAGCACAACATAGCTGATTTGGAAAAATTCTCCAATTCAGCTCACTTTCCAGTTTAACTATATGGTCATAGATTGTTCACTTCTCCTGCCTTCTCCAAACTCTTCACCCTTTAGTGAATAGACCAGCTAGTTTTGCATGATGTGGTGGCCTAATAGCTTGTTTGCCCTTTTCTTTGTTGCGTCACAACTCTGAGTACTTATTTAGCAATGAAATTTAAACTCAGAACTGTTGCAGAACTTAGAAGTGCTAAGAAGTGCATTTTAAGAACTCACAGATATGTTCATTTTCATAGTAGTCATTTATTATGCAAATTGTGCATGTATAAAATTAGAGAGGCTACTGGAAATTTAAGCCTTTTGGGTCATTGACAAATAACTCACACTTTCTTTTTTTTGTTGTAAATTTACAGTATATATGAGCTCTATATTTCAAAAAAAAAAATTGTGGGAGAAATTTAAAGTTATAATCTAAAGACTAAGGGGGTTATTCACTTAAGGCAGCCGAGTGAATAACCGAGCCAAAGTGAAGGAAGCCGAACCCTGTTCGGGTATTTACTTCAGCCGTGTACGTTTCAGCCGAACAGGCCTCAGTGCGTTCAGCTGAACCAAAATAAAGAACACGTTCACCTCAGCTGATCCAACATCTGGATCGGCTGAGGCGAAGGTTTGGCAGTTCAGTCATGCCATGCAGCATTCGGCTCGGTCATTCTGTTGGAGGTCACTCCTCAGAGGTAAAAACAGAATGAAATATGACATGTAAGCAAAATTAAAAAAAGAAAAAAATGGCATGGGGCCCCCCTCCCAAGCCATGCCGGATCCTTTGGTTCTGGTAGGAATGTTAGGAGGGACCCTGTAGTTAAAAATTAAAAATAAAATGCTTGGGGTACCACCCTAAAAGTCATACCAGACCCTTTAGGTCTGGTAGGAATTTTAAGCCTGGCAGGGCAGGAAAGGTGGGGGACAAGCGAGCGCCCCCTCCTTGCACCATACCAGGCCACATGCCCTCGGCATTGGGAGGGTGCTTTTCCAGAGGTTAATGCTCCAAGTGCCACAGCAGGTCAAGCATTTACATATACTTGAAGGTAAATGCACATTTGCAAAATAATGTTTTTAGACTTGCTGAAAAGCTACATATATTACTAATGCAGTATTAGAGAATAAAAGGAAGATTTGATTGATTGCTATGGGCTGGGGGTAGGCAACCTTGGCAGGCTACCCCCAGCCCATAGCAGCTGGGGGTTCCATCCAGTTGGGGTGGAACTACAAGTCCCATGAGGAATTGAAAGACTGACAGGCATGACTCCCAGAGGCAGAGAAATTATGAGATGTGTAGCTTCACCATAGCTGAAGAGCCGAGGATGCCTACCCCTGCTATATACAATAATTTTACTTTATTTAGATACCTATGCAGTAGTTTTTTCTGTTTTCATGTACTGGCACTCTAGCAAATGGATGCCTCCATATAGGTACCTAAACATGTTTTTGCTCTATGTAAAAATTCATAATATTAAAATGCAATACAATAACATAAAAAGCTATGTGGCCTGCTGCAGGAAGTGTGTTCAAAAGGATAGGAAGCTAGAGACAGAGAGGGAGAGAGAAGCCCTGATTAATGTTTGCAGACAAGGCTGTGGAGCAGATGGAAGTACTGGTGCTGTGAAGCAGCTGAACTTTACAGGGAGCCTGGGCTGAGAGAGAAACTCTGAAGTTAAGAGTGTGATAACCTTGTGGACTGAAACCCTCCAAGCCGGCGAGGCTGTTATTCTTTTCTGTGCTGAAGGAAGCAATCTTTTAAGTTGTTTTGCTGTACTGAAGGAAATTACTGTTTATTGTTGCTGCTGTGGAAAATAAATGCAGTTTGTCTGATAAAGCCTGTGTCCTGCGGTCCAGCTAATTCCCCAAACATCACAATATATATGTTTGTAAAATTAAAATTGTTACCAGCAGTCATATGTTCAAAAAATGTGAAAATTTTTATGTTGAACTTCATTACCAAGATTTTCTACTAACCTCCATATACAATTTGTCTTACCTTTATTAAATACAAGACCCTGTAACCATGACCGGACCTGAACTAGAACACAGCTAAAGTCAGAGGGCAGAATATGCTAGGGGTTCACAATCCAACCCTGTTCATTCAAATTATGCCAGACATATCTCCCACAAAGACTCATAAAATGTACTTTATCAGTTCACAAATAATGCACTTGTACTGCATTCTGTAAAAGCCAAAGTAGCATTATTCTTTACTAAAACGCATAGTCCACCTTTAAAAATAAAACAATGCACACACATTAATGAAAGATAAAAATGTGCATTTATTATTTTTTTGTATTTGAATTTGCAAAGCATTGCAACCGCAATCAGTGGATTGGGGGGCAACACTCAGGCTCCTGCAGCCCGAGGTACAGACCTTCGGTTATGGAACTGTAAGAAGTAATCAATGGGCTACAAGTGCAGTGTTGTCACTGCACTTGTACTTAGCCTTTAATTTATTTTCCCCATTTTTGAGCTAACAAAAGCAATAAAGTATTGAAAATAATCTATATATACAGTATTTTGGTACAACACTTGATGGGTTTGTTTATTAGATCTGCATTTCCCTTGTGGCTTAAAGCTCGAAAAAGTATATGAACTTCTTTTCTGTAACGATTGTGTATTTTTTGGCCCCAGAGACTTCAACAGGCGTGCCTGAAAAATGTGTGTAACTTGCGATTTTTCGTCTAACAACTGCCTCCTTCTCCTAGTAACTAGCTTTCCATTGGTTCAAACAAAAGCTCCAAAGGTTGAAAACGCACAAAAAAGTGTAAATGCTTGGAAATCACCTAAAAATGCTCACACTCAAGTCTGACCAGGGGATCATTTATAGTTGGGACAAGTTACCACTATCCACTTGACACAGCAGTGTCACTGCACACCCCGACCTGCAGCTTTTTTTTTCATTTATTTTTTTTATTTTTGAACTTCACTCACAGTGTTTTCCTTTCTTTGTGACTCCGCTAAGCACATTTGGCTTTATACATTTTATTTTCAGAGCAGCAGTATATATTATTTTACTGGAGCCCTATTTAACCACCTCCTGTCCATTGGCTGTACCTAAACGGCCAGACGGGAGGCTTGTAGGTGCGGGTTGGCGAATGAAGACGCACTGCACGGCGACTCTGTCAGTGGAGATTAAAGGGAAAGAAGTACATCTCCCTCTAATCTCCTCTCCGGTGTCGGAATTCAAGAATCACTTCCACATTCAGCTGTCATTCCCGGATACATTAGGGGTCTTGGAGACTCCTGATGTCTTCATAAAGAGAAACTGTCACCCAAATTGGCAATCACATAGGGGATTTCTTATAAATAAAGTTAAGTGTAAAAAAAAAAAAATTTTAAAGTCTCCTGCCCCCACATACAAACACAAACATACATTGGCTGCGCCTGAGTGCAAAAACGAATAATTCTACGGCCATCATGCACTGATAACAGTAAACTGATGAGCGGTAAAGGTTTTTAAAGCGTCGCCTATGGCTAATTTTGGGTGTCGTGGTTTTTCGCAATTTTGCTGGTGCGCGTCATTTTAAAGCTTGACATGTATGGTGTCTATTTACCCAATGTGACCCTGTCTTTAATATTTTACCAAAAAATTGGGCTGACAATAAATGTTTTATAGCATAGGGAAACTCAAAATTTTTTGTACTTTTTATTGTTATATAGTAAAAAATAAAACCCCCAGTGGTGATTAAATACCATCAAAAGAAAGCTCTATCTGTCCCCAAAAAAATATATCAAATTAATTTCAGTACAGCGTTGCATGATGGAATAAATGTCAAAGTACCGCAGCGCTGAATACTGAAAAATGGCCTGGCCCGGAAAGGGGTTTAACATCCCGGTTTTCAAGTGGTTAATGTAACAGATATTTTCTATAGTGACTTCTGCGCTCAATTACTCTAAAAAAAACTGGGAGTTCCTCCTTACAGCTTCTCACTTAGATTGGCTGCATGAATGATATTAATGTAATAGATATACTGTATATTACGTGTGCAATATTTAACATTTTTGTAAGTCCACCAACCTACCCGTGTATAATGGCATCAGCAATGACTAGGCTGTCCTCAGATGGGGAAGGGCTAAGCAGCTTGTCTTTCTCAGCTCTTGTAGCATGTACTATTTCTTCCTCCTTCTCACTCCAAGCTGAGTCAGTGGCAGAACTTGTCCCAGAGTCCAGCTCTAGGTGAGCCAAGGGTGCAAAGTTGTCTTCAATAAGCTGAGCATTCTTACAGATCTGCTTCTGAGTTTCTGAGGTCAGTGTGGGAAGGTCAAATGTGAAAAAGCTGTTCTGGTTTTGTACAGAGGAGGAAAGGATGTCAATAGAATCCAGGCTTGAATATGATGTACCCTTAGCTCTGTGAGATTCCATGATGTTCTCAAAATGCTTGCTGAAGGAGTCCATGCCATCTTCTGACAGTCGGTGACATAGACGGAATGTCACTGGAGATCGCAGGGGGGTTGGTATAGCCTCCCTAGTAAAAAAACAAACAAACAAAAAAACATATGCGGGGCATTACAATTTCAATGCAGTGAAACTGTTAAAGTGTAGGTATATTTTATAAACTCTATATAAATTACGTATGGAACCTTCTGCTGCATTAAGAAGTGTTCAATTTAAACAGATCACTGGATACAAATTAAAAAGTATTGTAAAGGAAAGAAAGAAAAATGTGTTTGGACCAGTTTGGATCTAACAATGCAGTGCAAGAACAATGATAATGTGCAAAGGCATCAGATGACCGATAGCAAGCAAATCTATCCCTTATCATTTTAAAGTTGTTGCATACATTCTGATTGGTTGGGTTATTTCATGCTGCATGCTACTGTCTGTAAAAGCACAATCATTTTTGCTATTACAGTAGGAAAAAAGAAAAGGGAGGCAAACTGAGCTAGCTTCACCTGCATAACAATCCATTACATCCAATCCAATCCATTTACTGTAAATGAAAACGTCATCCGACCCAAATGATAAGTCCTGTTGCTTTCAATTACAGAACATCTACAAAATATGCCTATACCCAACCCTGGAGACCTGCAAACCTTGTCTTCATTATTTCTTGCCTCAGCTTCTGCAACATATTCCTATCTAATCTTCAACTAACAAGACTCATGCCTCTACACACATGAATGCTGGTGGGAGATGCAAATACATGCAAAGCAATATGCATATATTTAAAAAATGGGTACATTCTACTTTTAGGCTATCCCAAAATGCATGGAGTTGTGAACATTTTTTGCTTGTTATGTGACTCTGCTTTTAATGGCAATATATAGCAGGAAGCTGATTATTAGCACATTTCTACTCACTTGTGAGTAAGGCTCAATACCTAGCACATTTAGAAGTTCACAGATATCTTGAGATCATGCTCTAGCCCAACCTTTTTACCAAGGAGGAACCATTTTAATAATTTGCACATCCCAGGTAGTTCTGGAAAAATTTTTTTTTTATATATACTGTTCATGGCATATTAACATGATCTCTTGCAGGGTTATTCCCAAAAGGGTGAAGAGTTTGGAGAAGGCAGGAGAAGTGAACAATCTAGGCCTAAATAGCTGATTTGGAAAGATTCTCCAATTCAGCTCACTTTCCAGTTCAGCTATGTTGTCCTAGATTGTTCTTTCTTAAGCCCGTGGCACACTGCATGCAAAGCCGTTCAGAGCAAAGGAAAGCTGTCAGGTACGCAGGTTCACATGCAGATGACAGACTGCATCTTCACCCAATTGGCTTGCGCATAAAAACCGAATGGGCTTCACATCATAAAGCGCGGGTTTATATCTCGCAAGCTGGCATGCCTGGCTGAAAATTATATGACACACTGCACACGAAGGTCCGCGCACCACCACTCTGCGCTGCTTCGTGTGCAGTGTGTCAAAGCCTTAACACCTCCCTGCTCTACACAAAAAAAGTTATTTTCAGTAACAATTATGATATTATAGTTAAAAAATAATAATGATAGGAAGAAACACAAATAGTGAAATTGTAGTTCCCTCTCATATTATTTGTCAGTGGAGAAATGCACCTGAATATTAACAGTAAGTGTAATGTGCCCTTACATTAGTAGATGGTGGTAAAATGCCCCCCTATACTGGAAATCAGTAAAGAGCCCTTTAACATTGCTAGTCAGTACAAGAGGTGCTTCCTTACATTTATGGTAAGTGGGAGAAGGGCACACTTACATTGGTGGTCAGTCATGAAGAATGCCCCATACATCGGTGCCCAGTGGGAGAGATGATAATAAATGCACCACTTGGCCCACACTACTGGCTCTGTTGAGAGCAGTTGGCCCAAAACTTATATAGGCAACATCATCAGGTGGGAAATAAATCAGACATTATTTACTGCTCAAGGAAGCCCATTTGGAGTAAACCTCGGGTTATCAGTTTAACAGATTAATCTGTTTTTAGCAAATTTCCTTGGTTTTTATGGGACTAGGAACAGAGAACTCTGCAGTACCAAATGCTGGTGAACCTAGTATTCCGATATATCAATTCTGTTAAAATGATCCTGTATCAGCACTGTTACAGTATCTCAAGAGGGACTTGTTTTAGCCAGCATAGCTGTATAAACAGGACCAGGATAGGAGACAATCTTGTTGCATACATGGACATTGCTGGAAGAAGGGCCTCTAGCTGTTACCATACTGATGCACCTGGTCCATTTCTATTCAAAATATATATTTAAGATTGTTTACAATAACATCAACTCAATAAACAATCATGTAAAAAGCATAAAAACGCATTTTAACACTGTTTGCCCAATTTAGTTTACTATTTAGATTTACTACAGCAAGAAAACAGCAATGGGAAATGCACAAGTTATACTTGTTTCCAGTGTGTGAAACACAGTATTTGGTTGTCTCTGTTTGCTACTCTCTCATTGGGACAAATTAGCTTGGTTGCAAAAGGAAATCAATGGGCACCTGGCAAACACTCTTTATGGCAAAAAGGTACATTATTTCCTCCCATTATACATAAGATGATGGGTGCTTGGAAAATCTAATGGACAAACTGCCCAGCTCACAAACAGTCATTTAGCCTATTCTGATGTTCACGTATCAATAGCTTGGACTGTCTCTTACCTCTTCATCTCTATCTTTGTTGGCTCAAACACTTCATCTTCATCCTCATCAGCATGGCCTTGAACTACATCACTAGGAAACCCAGGAATCTGAGGAACGGCAACCTCTTGTTTCTCCTGTTCTTGTTTATCTGCACTGGTATCGGTGATGCTCCTGTTGCTCTCACTGTCTTTTTGGCTGCCAATGGCTGAATCCAATCCTTCATTTTCTGCCAGTATATCATCAATATTTGTTTCCCGATAACACCTCAGTGGCACAGCATCCAAATCTGTTTCAGAGTATTTGATAGTTCTGCGTATAATGCCCGTCTCACAGACTTGGGAGATTTGATCACATGAAGGGGTTTTTTCAATTTCAACTTCCACATGGCACAGACTATGCTCATAAACATTAGGTTCTGTTGAGGTATTGGTGTTCCTCAAACTGCCAGGGCTGATGGGTGAACATGGAGGTGATGAATGTTCAGGTGGCTGCACACCTGAAAAATGAAATGTGTACTTAGGAGAACAGCATATGTGTGTATACCATTCTAGATATTCAAATGCAAGCAAATTAAGTACAGTGAATTACATTTTGTACACTTTTTTTAGTTCTATCTTTCAGGACGCTAAACAAATGCCATATAGGAATCTCTGGTTGGGTGCGGGGCTTTGGCGGGCTGGGGACAGGATTTTGGCAGGTCGGGGGCGGGGCTGGGGGGAATACCTAACCCAATATGGAAGGTATCGCATGTCACTGCTGGCAAGCCAAAACCGCGTCTGGGAGAATGTCCTTTGGACAGATTAAACAAAACTGGAGCTTTTTAGCAAGTCATATCAGTTCTATGTTCACATACAAAAAGCTTACTGTGTACAGAAAACAGTACCTACTGGAGGAGGCTAGGTTATGTTTAAGAACTGCTTTGCTATGTCTGGCATGGGGTGCCTTGGATCAGTGCAGAGGACAATAAAATCTCAAGGCTATCAAGGCATTGTAGAGCAAAACATACTGCCAAATGAGTCAGAAAGCAAGTCATGGGTAATTTCAACAGGATAATACCTCAAAACAGCTCAAAGGACCCAAGAATGGCTAAAAACAAAAACACTGGACTTTTTTAAAATTGGTCTTAAAAGATTTCTGATCTGTATCCTATCGAATATCTATGGAAAGAGCTGAAAATGCATGCAGTCTGGAAAAGACACTTTCAAACCTGAGAGAGCTGGAGCAGTTTACTTATAAAGAGTGTTCCAAACTACATCCTAACAAGTGTGGTGGTCTCATTGAACTATAGCAATTGCTTGTTTGCAGTAAAGGTTGTGCAACAAAATATTAGGTTACATTACATTACATTTTGTCCATGCCATTTTATTCTTTTACTATATTATATTAAATCAAAAAAACAGAAACAAAGTCTGATTTTTATTGAAAATTGAATAAACAGTGATGGATGCCAATTACCTTTGACAGTTTAAGGTTATTTCAGAAAGAATTGTAGTCTCTTGGCTTTTTACAGAAGCTATTTTTATCTTCCCAAGGATGTGCATTTCTGTCCATCCAGTCATGAGATGTACCAAGCTCTGCCCCATAGCACACCCCTGTCTAACAGGAGAGGCGATCTGAGCTTTCACTTTTGTTTTCAATAATTTTTTTTATTGAAGCTGAAATTTTATCTGCTTGTATTTTGCCTTCTTTGGTTCATCCTTCCCCCCTCATCAACAAGCTAAAGAAATGTATAAATAAAAACTTTCTGTTTTCTTTACATATTACAAAGCATGACATCACTGGGTCTCTGTGCAATACAGGCAGATCATGGCTGGTGGGAGAGGGCTGCACATTTCAGCTTCAATAAAAACAGCAGACCACCGTCGGTAAAGTCCACATGTGATGCTGAGGCTCCATGATTGAAAGAATTGTAATTCAGTGAATGAAAGGGTGGGCCAGGAAGAGTTCAGCTGGAGAGTAAAGAGCTACATGATTCTGGATGTCCTCCAGCCAGAAAATATGGCAGGCTCAGACTTGCTGTAACTGTTAATGCATACCATGAGAAGCTCACAGTGTGCAGTAAAACCAGAGTAAGCAATTTGAGCACAGGAGAGGAGTATAATATACAAGACTAAATGTGAGGCTGCAGTTCAGGTTTAGAATAATACAGATGCATATCAAATAATGAGGGGAGATGTATAATTGATTAGGGTAAGTATTCAAGGGAGGTGCACATGTATATATAGTCAGTACAGTGGTAACGATGCCCAGTATAGGCAACAGAGGTTCCGTTTTTTAGGAATCAAGGCCCACATCAGTGTCTCTGCAGTCTTGAGGGTAAAAAAAAAAAAAGGATAGAAATAGCATGGAACATGGAAGTGGGGCCAAGAGTGAGCAGACAGGTCACTGGTTGGGGAATGAGGGGTATATGGTGGATGAGATTAGGGGAAGATTAATGAGGGGGGATACCAAAGTAGGTTCAAGAGAAGAAGGGAAAAAAAGGAGGGAAAGAGTGAGAATAACAAAAAAAGGGGGGGAAAAAAGATGGCAGAGAAGGAAATAGAGTTAGTGAATAAATGTCAAGGTTGTTGCTTAGCTGGAAGTTGAACATTCAGCAGTCTAAGGTTACGTAATACAAGGGTCCCAGATGCTCTGAAACTTGAGTAATCTATTGAGTTGGATAGCGATCAATTTTTCATAGTACACTGCTGCATACGTAATTTTAAATCATCAAAGGGAATTCTAGTTTTTTTCTGCTGCTGTGATTGTCTTCTTAGCTGCTGTGAACACGTGCAAAAGCAGGTGGACTTCTATATTAGTACAAGTGGTAATTTTTGTTCAAATGGTGACTCCCAGGGATCCATTGCAAAGGAGCAGCCTAGAAACGTTAGATAATACAATACACTATATAAGCTGACAAAAGAGGGGGAAATGGGAGGACAGTAGTTTGAGATTTTGGTGTCATCCCACATGTTGAAAAAACGCTTATTGATGCGATTTGAACTATATGCCATACATAGTGTGAGGGGGCCAGAGAATGTTAACCATGTTCAAAGGTAGAGACATTGGCTTTGAGGCTTGTCCAAAGAGGGACATCAGAGTTGACATGAAAATGGGAAAGTTGTGCTATTTGTGCGCCCAGACCAACTATAACTTTAGTTTTGTAGAGTTTAGCGAGCAATCCTTAGTCCATGGTGTCCCTATTGTGAGATCTAGTTTCAAATAGGAGAGCTTTAAAGACACATCCAGTCACTGAAAATGTCTTTAAAGGCTTCCTTGCCCACTTTTATTCAAAGAAAGTTCAGAAAAAACAATGCAGTTACCCTCACAGTGGTTCTTCAACATCTCTAGGCAACACAAATACATGCACATCCAGCCTCTTGAAATTGCACTTGCAGCACCGCTGCTCCGGCCTCATTTCCCAGGCCCCTCTCTGTTCCTCCAGACAGCCTCAGTTCTGTGCTAACCTGCACAATCGGTTTCGTCACCCGCAGCTCCCTGCTGCACTGGACTCCACTCTGACTCCTGGGTGGAGTCCTCCTGTCTCCCAGGTGGAGCCCTGAACATTTGCCAGCACCTTTACCTTAAAGGCTGTGCACACGTGTGCAATCAGCAGGTGTTGGTCACTTATAAAAATATGGACCCAGGAATGGAGATTACACAGTGGCATTGTCACACCATATAAATCTCAGGGTTTTATTTTCGTGTTCAATATTTTTATTTAAGAAAATAATGCAATGTACTGCATCATCCAGAGAAATAAAAAAAGTGTTGTAATCGTAAAAGCAATAAAATTGGTAGATACATTAAGTCAGGCCTCAAAATTTCCACTCGCCCCCTCGCAATTGGCGAGTGAAAATTGCGTGGGGGTGAGTGGAATGTCATCGAGGGGGTGCGCCGCCGGCGAGACCAGGGATGTGAGACTACCGCAGCGGCGATTGCTCACTTCTCTTCTCTCTTCTCCTCAGCCGCTGCAGCTACAGTGTCCCATCCCTGGTCCCGCCGGCGGCGCACCCCCTTGATGACATTCAGTTCTGCTGTCTTCTGCAGGTTACTCCGCCCACCTCAGCTGCCAGGCTGTGAAGGAAGACTGCAGAGACACAGTTGACCCGGCCAGAAAGTTATGCAGGGGGAAAAGAAAGTTTTAAGCTAAGTGCACTGTAAGTCCCTTTTCTTTCTTCCTTACACCGCTGACCTCTGCACTGCGCCTCACGCTGGCCTCTGCACTGCGCCTCACGCTGGCCTCTGCACTACGCGCCACGCTGACCTCTGCACTACGCGCCACGCTGACCTCTGCACTGCGCGCCACGCTGACCTCTGCACTGCGCGCCACACTGACCTCTGCACTGCGTGCCATGCTGACCTCTGCACTGTGTGTTACATTACTGACCTCCGTACTGTGCGTTACATTACTGGCCTCTGTACTGTGCGTTAAATTACTGGCCTCTGTACTGCTGACCTCTGTACTGTACTTCACACATCTGGCCTCTGTATTCGGCATTGCACCACTGACTTCTGTACTGTGCGTCAAACCGCTGACCTGGCGTTGTTAAGGCCTGGGCAGGGTAGGGGTTAGGGGGGGCAACTGGTGGCGAGTAAATTTTAAGGCCTGGCAAGTAGCTCAGGACTTGAAATTTTGAGCCCTGCATTAAGTAATATAGTGTAAATAATAACCAGGAAGCTACAGGTCAAACGGTACAATGGTTTACAAAATGTAGGATAATGAAAGCAATGCTAAAATGATAAGGATGTTAGTTGCTGCCCAGATAGGAATTGGAGAGGAGGAGAAAAGAGGAATGAAAGAGAGAAGAGGAGGGAAAGAACAAGATGGGAAACTTGAAAGGAGGACAAGAGAAAGAAAGAAGGAAAGAAGGAAAAAAAGAAAGAAAAGAAATTAAAGATAGATGCAGGTCATGTGGCTGTGTACCGCCGCGGTCTCTTATGTAGTTCAGAGAAAAAGTAGATTAGTATTGAATCCAGGAGGTAGAAATTATTCAGTCTGAAGATACCAGATAGCGTAAAGATTGTCCATTTTATCCGCAAACCTCGCCTCCACTTCTCCACATGGCCTGCGTGATCCTGGATTTGGTCCTGGATAAGTAGAGCCAAGTGCTCAATAAGGAGTGCAAAGAGAAGCGGGGATAGAGGTCACTCCTGTTTCATCCCCTGGGTAATCCGGAAAGATAAGGGGTTTGAAACCAGAGTATTATAGGAAGTGCTTGGGTCTCTTCCCTGTACTCATTGCCCCTGGCCTAAGCCCCATTTCGGTAATAGATTAAATAGATAAGGTCATGCCACTGAATCAAAGGCCTTCCTGAAATCAAGGGGCAACAGAAAGGTTGGCATGTTCCTTTTAATGAGACATATTTTTTTGCTAAATATTATCTCCACTCTGCCGCGTAGGGACGAAACCTGTTTGGCCCCATTGAAGCAGAGTGCCAATAATGGTATTTAGGAGTAATGCTAAAATATTGGCTAATAATTTGACATTAAGATTAAGCACAGGGAGATGGGCCTATAATTGGACCAGCAGGTGTCATCTGTGCACTGTTTAGGGATCATTGAGATAACTGCCATCAGCCTTTCTGACCGAAAGCCATGTCCGTCCAAGATACTATTGAAAACTCTAGATAGTAATAGGGCAAAAGGAATAATCAAACCTTTTATAATAGCTAACCGTAAAGCCATCTGGACCTGGTCGTTTATTGGTTTTAAGTAACTTTATCGCCAGGAGGACCTCGTCGGAGGTGAGTGGATGCTCTAGTGTAGCAGGAGAGTCAGGCAAAAGGGTGGGCAAAGTTATGCTAGAAAACATATAGGTATCCTGATCCAAGGTCGTGGAATTATCATGTGATTATAGCTGGGAGAGAAGGGACCTGAATTCCTGAAGAATCTTGGCCGGGGTACTAGTCAGACCCAGACGCCCCAACTTCAGCCGGATAGGTTTATAGTTAGAGTTAGGAGTCAATAGCCTATGTGCAATGAGGGAGTCCTGTTTGTTACCTTTAACATAAAACGTATGTCTGACCCTACGAAATTGCTTGTCTGCTTTGTCTGCCAGTAAAGCGTTGTGATCCAGGTTAACCTTTTCAAGCAACTGCTTAGTATTAGAAGATGGATTGGATTAAAAAGAAGTCGAGAGTGTTTGAAAGTCATGCTCTAACTCCTGGAGCCTTCACAGTTGCACTTTCTTGGTCCTGGAAGATAGCTGAATGCATGCACTGCATAGACAGGGCTTATGAGCTTCCCACAGGGTGAAAGGGTTGCTGAAGAGGAAATGTCCATCAGCAGGAGGTCGTTCGGCGTCCAAGTCAGATTCCGGTTGCGTGTGATTAACGAGGAGAGTGATCAAAAAACAGTGCTACGATCTGACCAAGGAACATGATTGATCTTGGGATACACAATGAGAGGCAGATTTGCATGTGTTAGAAAAATGTGATCACTATGGGAAAACGTATTATGTGGATGAGAATGAAATGTATATTCCCTACGAAACAGATTAGCCTCATACCAGGCATCAATGAGGGTATATTGTTCCAAGAGATTGCGGAAGAAGTAGAGAAATGTGTCCGCCTTACCGGACCAAAATGCCTGAAAGGCCTTCATCCATTTAGCAGGAGAATTTAAGCCTTTCACATTAAGAAACAAGATTGTAATGTGGGCAGGAACCTATGCCCTACACAAGAGGCCGTGGTGGGCCCAGTAGACAGAGAGAAGTAAAGAGGGAAGAAAAGAAAGGGAGTGAGAAAAGAAAGGGGGGGGGGGGGGGGGTAAAAAAAAGAGAAGGAAAAAAGAAAGGGGGGGGGGGGGAGAGGAGGGCAGAAAGAGAGAAGAGCAGGCATCAAAAGAAAAAACAAGAGAAGGGTAGGGAGGAGGTAACACTCAAGAACAAGGAAAAAAGGACAGCAGCTATTAAACAGAAGATAGGTTCCTAAGGCACTGACCAGAAAGCTTACGCTAGGTCAAGGCCAATAAGAATGAGTAAACCAGTGTAAGAACAAATAGGAGGGTCGCTGTGACAACCTCCCGGGCACAGGCATAAACATAACATTACATAACAAACACCAATAACATTAGAATAACTAACAATAAGGTACACCAAACCAGACTAAATGAAAACAAAATGCGACCAGGGAGTCAGAGATTAACAGTTCAACCAAATAGTATCCAATAAGTGACGAACCGCCGTTCCAAACCAAGCATGACCCAGAAATGGAGTAGGGAGAATAAGAAAGGGTGGGAGGGGTGGAAAAAGGAGAAATAATAACTGGGAGAAGAGGGGTAAGCAAAGCGGAGAAAGAAAGAGAAAATATGTAAGGGATGAGGAAAAGGATAGGGAGAGGAAAAGCTACATGGACAAGCGGAGAGCATTGTCGGCCAATGATAGGGAAAGGGACAGTCATGTTCCCTATCCCCCTCGGAGCAAACCAAGAAAACCACAGGGAGAGTTGGTTAAGCTATGAAACAGTATATTAAGTTGTGATTCACAGTAAGAGTGGGTTAGAAAATACAGTAGACAGTAACAAACATGAATGTAGAAAAAGCATCCAAAGAGGACAGAGGCCGGAAAAACAACATAGCTATTGGAGGCAGCTTGTACAAAAACAAAATAACACTTAAGAGACCATACTTTTACCAGTATTAGTCACTTAGAGGCACAGTTGTGTAGAAAGCGAAGCTCACAAAAAAGAGAACCAGGAGTCGTCCGTCACGTCACCCAGGGGAGTCAGAAGCGGAGCTTCTGGATGAACGGCTTTAATGATGATGCTGGTCCTATAATGGTCCATTCAAGTCGTCATTGCAGGGGACAGGCAATGGTTATGCAGGCCAAGTGGAGATCTGTGCAAAGGTCAGTGGAGATCTGTGCAAAGTGGAGATCTGTGCAAAGTGGAGATCTGTGCAAAGATAGGCTGCCGTCTCCTTGAGGAGGGAGAACATAAAGATCTATCATATGATCCCGCAGCTAATCTTATGAGGAAGTTTTAAATACCGATCCCTGGTAAGTAAAGGAGAGGCTAAATGGGAAACCCCATTTGTACTTTAATCCGTGATCATGCAGGACTTGGAAAAAAAGGTTTCAGCGCTCCATGTTTAGCGATTGTTTTTGGTGCTAAACCAATAAATTCCTAAAATACTGAAGTTAATTTTCGTCCAGTCTGTAATTAGAATGTGAAGGGGCAGCAACATATTGGTGAGTGTGTTCCACTTTCCTGATTTTCATTGTGAGTACCTGTACATAGTTCATCATCATAGTTTAAAATACATTTAATAGTTTTTAGTGAATGTATAATTCAATTTTTTTGTGTTTTTTCTATCAGATTTAAAGTAATATTAAAGTCAAAATGACTTTAAGCTATTTTAAATGCTGATGAAATCACTTACAATGGATTCTGCTTCTTGATATTTAAAAGTTTTAGTTTCTTGCAGAATCAGCTGGTCCCCTGAGCACTGGTCCTGACTTCCTGTTGTAGAGTGACTCCTTCAAGCAGAGTGATATGCAGTCACCCTTGTGTGTGCTAGTAAGCTGTGTGTGTTTCCACAAACACACAGACACAACAAATCAAGCTACTCCCCTCTCACCTGACCCCCTCTCCTCCCTTCCACAAGCTAGTAGATGAACAGTTGCTGGAGTCGGCACTGTCCTTTGTGATCTTCTACTGGACATGATTGTAAGTGTATAGGCAAAAATGTAAACCAATGCTTTGCTGGGTGATGTATATTTGTTTGATCTGGATTCATTTTTGAAAAAAGTTTAACACTACTTTCAAGATGTACCGGTATTTCTTTTGATTTTAAAGGGTTGATTTACTAACCTTATAAACACGCCACTAACAAGTATACACCTCTGTAGTGTGTTCCCTTCCAGCATGATCTATGGGTGGAATCTAAACACCTTTGTATTGTGTGCACACCCAGCAGGTGTGTTGTGCAAAGCCCTGCATGAATTGCAAGGTGATGTTGTGTAAATTAGCTCTATGTTGTGTTGCTTGCGTTGATGAATGCAGGAATGTAAATGCATGAGCTAACCATTTTTGTCTAAACTGTGAAGAAGCATTATATATGCATCATGTGCATGATTTTTCCATGTATGGCATTAGTGGAAATATGCTTTTAGAGACATGCATGCCGCTATTAGAGCGGCGTGTAGCCTATGGCGCATGCTACATGACCCACACGTATGTAAATACATAAAAACGCGTCATAATGGCGTGAAAATGTGACGCGTTGCTCGTGTTTGGTTGATAAATACGTTTTGCTGTGTAAAAAAAAGCACACACACCTGGTGCGTGTGTGTGTTTAGGTTAGTAAATCACCCCTTAAGTGTCAAAGATTGAGGCACTGAATGAGCTATTAGGATTTGTTTTTTTCTGCAGGCATCACTAGCCACTTTTAACTTCTAAAAACTTGCGCTAAAGAAAAACAAACAAAAAGTATAATGTTTGGTATCTTTCTGTTTTTATAGGCTTTGGAATACAATGCATGTCATTTTACCTTTGGATAAAGCTGCTTTGCAAGCTAAATCTGTAGTTATTAATATGAATGGCAAACTCTAAAAAAACAAAAACATTTTTACATATATCTCACCAGCTCTTTGTGATTCTGGGGATCCATAGAAAAACTCCCATTTTGCTTTTGCAATCTTCTGTGCAAGTAGAGAAGCCTCCTTTGGATATCCCCATGAGTCTGCCTAAACATATTAAAGAAAAACACACCACAGATATATAGTTTGAAACAACTCTAGCCATTAACAGTGCTGGGGCAAGATATTAAAACGAATACCTGCTGGCTAAGTTCTAGTCTCCCTGGACTTGCTGGCAATTGCTCATTATGTCCTTCCAAAGTTGATGATGTAAGCTCATCTTTGCAGAAATTAGAATCTCCTGTAATGTGTTTGAGCAAGGGACTTTGAGAAGGACTCAAGGGTTTATCTGAAGATGATGTAATGCTTGGTTGAAGACCTGTATTAACATATTTATTGGTAGAATCACTATGAAGGCTCAGGTGACAGTCTGACCCACTCACAGAGCTGGGACTTCCTCTTCCCAATTCATTGTCTAATAGCTTCTGGCATGTTTGAGGACTGTCAGACACCAGCTGCGCTCTACCCCCTTGGGGGGAAGATATAAGCTGTGGTTGGCCAATTCTTTCACTGTTTCTGTGAGCATCTGCTGTGTCCACGATTTCTTCAAGGCATGCTCCTGGTTCAGTGGCAGTGTTAGCAGAGCATTCTGCACTCTGAGGTTTGCCTTCCTGTAGCACACTTGGACTGGAATCAGTCACTGCCTGGTTCCCATTTAATGTCTGTACACTGGATTTCTTGACAAATGTAAATGTCACAATAGAACTTTGTCCCACAGTCTGAGGAACCATAAACGGTCTCCTGCTACCTGGAGAGTATAAAGGATGACTTCTCAATGGGCTGCAGGGAGCAGTGACCCTTCCAGACTTATGAGCCACATCCGAAACACTGCAAACCAATGACCCTGTGCTATTATACATTCCTAGGTGAGCTCGTCTGGCTTCTGGCGTTAGGCTCTTTCTTAGTACTTGAATTCTCTGAGAGTTGAGGTCTGGAGTAAAACAACGTTGGGGACTGAAAGCTACACCAGACTTGAAGGACTGCAACCATGGTTTCCCTTCGACTTCTCTGAGTGCTCTTGGAGATGAAAGTATGCAATCTCCTTCAGGGAGGAAGCGCACAACTCCACTTGTTTGAGCCATGTTCCACCTTATAGCAGATCAGTTACATTCAGTTGAATAAAGTGTAAACTGAAAGGTTCATTAAATTCACATTCACATGTAGATCTTTGCATCTTTGTTGCATTCTGGAAAAAAAAGTAAACATGATCAGTCATCTCTTTTTTTAGGCGTTAACACTTAAAGAAAAGTACAAGACAAATTAAGTGGGCCTCTAGATGTTTTATGAAATATATCATCTATTACGCAGGTAAAGCTGTACTTCCTCAACACATCTTCAACTTTGATTGATTGCTTTTGAGGTATGAGTCCACAAACTATGGCTGCGTCTATCCTTTGACATTCCATATTATGTCTTTAGTCCATCTATATGTCCCTTTCGAATCTCATCGCATCCGGCCTTCCATATCCCTAGTGGATTATACTTATGACCACATACCCTCTTTCCTTCTTTCTCCTCTATGCTCTATTGCTTCCCCTGCTCCCACGTTTTCTCACTACTCCACACTTTTCTCTCTTACAGTATGTCAAATATCAGTTATAATTTTTACCATGAGTTATTGCTGCATTACATGATGTGTTTTATCCATGGATATATGCCGGATATACTGTTATCCCCGGTTCTGTACCATCAGTGGTCTTTTTTTATTAGTTATTGCTGGCATACCCTCCATGCATTATGACATGTATGTGGCTGCTATTTACCGTATATAAATGGCACCATTATTGGTTGTGAGAAAACTTAATAAAGATTTATATGCTTAAAAAAAAGACAAATTAAGATAATAATGGCATAACTTTTATAGCAAAGTATATTTGGTGGTAAGCTAAATAACTTTTCTCCATACGACAAGAACAAAAAAATGTCCTGTATATTATTCATAATAATGTGTTATGCACATCTATACCCACTAATTAACAACTAATGGCAACTATATTTAATAAAAAAGTAATCTTATACAATAAACAAATATGCTAGTGAGTTATTCTTTATGCCCAGATACATATTAAAATGTAATTACCAACCTTAAATATGTATTGTGCAGAGGCATGAGCAAGCAGGACATCAGAAATTAAATAGTAGAAATGTTTGTATTGTGCTTTTCTTTTATGTTTGCACTTAAAAGGCATTTTTTTCTTTTATCAAACTTTGTAACTATGTTACTTATTGACTTTGGAAAGGAGTAAAATTATCAAATTGTGTGCAATAAATTGTATACACTTTAGAAAAAAATATAATCCACAGTGGAAAAGAAAATGACTCAAGTCTATGCTAAAAGGTCAGTTTTCATCCTGCACACGTTGTAAACATATCCCCCATTGAGTTTGATTGCTATAGACAAACCTGCACTTTTGAGGTTTTTTTCATTATTATTGTTATTTGGAAGTATAATTTATTCAAATGTATTGTATGTGGCAGCCTTCCTATGTTAACAGTTTATACACAATATGCTTTCTGCAAATGTGTCAAGCTACAGCTCTGGAAGTTTAGGGCTTGGGTAAATCAAAACTGAACTTGACAAGCACTATTACATTCAGGTCACAAAACCAGGTTTGGCATTGTGTTCACTGAACTATCCTCAGAATTACAGCACTGGCTCTAGGTCCAAAATATAGCTAGTTATTCTACATCAGCTTATGTCTGTTCTATTTATTGAGATGTGCAAGAAGTCATAGCTCGCAGATAATGTATATCGTTTGCAAAATGGATAGCTAAATTAAGCCTGGATGAATGAAAAGAACAAGCAGAAATAGAAATTGCACATTCATAAACTATAAAAAAAACTCCAATTTACACAAATCTTTTTTTATATAAAAATGAATGCCAAAAGAGTTTGAATCAGTCTACTTAGATGGGCATGTCACAACGCACAATACTTGCATTTAACAAAGCCAAAACTCTTGTTTTTCTTTTACTTCACAACAAATATTTTGAATCTTTGCTCTAGCTGATCAGATCCCACTCATTTCAGTAATGCCCACTCTCCTCTGGAATGGCTAACAATTTCACATGCTCTCTTCTCACCCCATTTTTTCCAGATCTTCTCCTGGCCCACTACATAGAATGTTCCATTCTCTTGGCACTGAGCCCACTAGGCTGTGGAGCAGTGGCTAAATCAGTTACACATCTTTTTTGGTAACCAGAGTCCTGGGCTTGGCCCTCAAGAATTATGTTCTAGCCAAATCCTCTGGGTTACAAACATTTAGAATTTGCATGGAAGGCACCCTTAAAGGTAATCAGGATGTTGCCATTAATAACAACTCTAAATGTTAGTTCCCTAGCTGCCATGCTTGTCCTCTTATTTAAATGCTCTCAGTAACTAACACAGAATAATCATGCAGATAATGTGTCCTGATTTTCTTTGACTTTCCTGATCTGCATACTGTTTAAGGTCATTGATTCAAATTCTCCTGAAGCCTATATGTCAGCATGCCAAACAGGAACTAGCATTTTGAGAAGGAAGTCTGCAATGGCAGCCCATGTAATACTCTTTACTTAGCTTTACTCCTTACTTTATCAAGCATGATGGCTAACTCAGTACAGTTGCTCACTTTAAGGCCTCAAACCCCAGCTTTTAGACACTTTAGATGACTTATTATGTATTATTTATATTCTCTAGTAGTAGGATATACCACTAGGATACACATATTCAACACTAGATATTTTCTGGTCCCATTGGGAGGAAAAGGCTCTGACTGCACCCATAAATTCATCAAATCCTAAAAAAATGTTTAACATGCAGGTCCTAATGGCTTTGATCATTGAACTTCACCTTCTAACAAGCAGGGCCTAAAAATAATTTTCACAAATATGAGTCAATAACTAAAATCATAACAACTTGGAAACACTTGTTTTTGACTGGAGTTACACTTTTTTGAACAGGGTGTGAATAAGCTAGAACCTATGTCAGATTTTATTGATCAGCAAACATGAAAGAGCGCTAGACAGATATTGAAGCCCAGTTTGTTTTCAGTTAAAAAGTCAATGTGTTTCAGGGGTACTAAGGTGCCACCTTCATCAGGATTCTATCGATAAAGCCTTTTCCAGTTGTTGCTTTAAGAAAAATATTGCTAGATTTAGAAGATAAGCTATGCAAAGAAAAAAGTACTTTTTCCATATACATACATTCTAGAACCTTTAAGCAAGACAACCCCTTTGCCACATTTTTATGATTTTCTTATTCTGACTTCCCTGTCCAGGAAAAAACATCTCCACTATCTTTCTCAACTCCTCAACCCAATCCCATCCGACCTTATCTATATCCATTCATCTACTCTGGCCCCTGTTCTGAAATGTTAATGTTTTCCCTATCAACAGGTGCCTCCCCCTTTTCACTACTGCATTTAAAAAATACAGCATGCTGAAAGACCAGCTCCGACTCTCTTTATGGGAACTGAAGGTGATCCCACTCTTTTGCTGTGCAAATTATTACAGAAAGCACAGAGATATTTTATAGTACTTAAATTCAGTGTGTACCTAGCATAGTTGACACACGGGCAGATCATTTTTTAACACCACTACGGCCTTCTATACATGAAATAAATTCACTGGCCACTTTATTAGGTACACCTGTTCAACTGCTCGTTAAGGCAACTATCTAGTCAGCCAATCACATGGCAGCAACTCAATGCATTTAGGCATGTAGACATGGATAAGATGATCTGCTGAAGTTTAAACTGAGCATTGGAATGCTGAAGAAAGGTGATTTAAATGACTTTGTATATGGCATGGTTGGCGCCAGATGGGCTGGTCTAGATGTTTCAGAAACTACTGATCTACTGGGATTTTTACACACAACCATATCTAGGGTTTACAGACACGGGTCTGAAAAAGAGAAAATATCCTGTGAGGGTCATTTCTATGGGCGAAAATGCCTTAATGATGCCAGAGGTCAGATGAGAATGGCCAGACTGGTTCAGGCTGATAAAAAGGCAACAGTAACTCAAATAACCACTTGTTACAACAGAAGTATGCAGAAGACCATCTCTGAATGCATAATATGTCAAACCTTTAAGAAATAGGGCTACAACAGCATATTTGCTTGGCACACTTTAGGCCCTTTAGTACCAATTGAGCATCAGTTAAATGTCACAGCCTATATGAGTATTGTCGCTGACCATGTCCATCCCCTTATGACCACAATGTACCCATCTTCTGATGACTACTTCCAGCAGGATAATGCGCCGTTTCTTTAAGCTAAAATCATCTCTAAATGGTTTCTTGAACAAGACAATGAGTTAATTTTACTCAAATGGCCTCCACAATCAGCAGCAACTTCCTGATGGCATCATGTCAATATGGACCAAACTCTCTAAGGAATGTTTCCAGCACCCGAATCTAGGCCATAAAGAATAAAGTCAGTTCTGAAGACAAAAGTGGTTCAACCTAGTACTAGAAAGTGTATATATTCAGTAGTAATCATGAAATTAAATTAATACTTATGATGGCAGTGAAGATTTTAATTATCTAAATGTTTCATATAAAATCTCGTTGGCAAAGTTTTTAAGTGTTAGTAGTGGCACATGTAGTGCGCCGTGGCAAAATATGGGATAATAATGGTGTGCTGAATATAATACAAATTAGAGGTTTAAGACTGGTGAACCATGGCAAAAAAGAAGGATAATAGCAGTGTGCTTAAATATGACAGGCCTCTTACCAGCTGTAACTTTACCATACATAAACAAAAATGGCTATTGGGATCCAAATGGGCAATCATATACAATACACAAGCAGTCAACTGTTACAATACGCAGGCAGCAAATGAGCAGTCATTACAATGTATGCAACTTTTGGCAATATGTGGGTTACAAAAGGCATGGACAATGCCAGAAACATGTCCACAGAGACACAATCAGGTCTGTACTGACCCCACCAGAAACATATCCACAGAGCCACAATCAGTACGGTACCGACTGCACCAGATCTTACATACTTGGATCTTACTAATTTGGTCACTGCCTTTGTTCCTTCTCCTAATCACCTGCGTATTACAACCAGTACTGGTCATTTTCGATTACATAAA